TAAATATAATTTAACAATAGATTAAACTGGAACAACTCGATTCTAGTTATTTTAAACAAGTAATATTTCTTCTCTAAATTTGATGTAATCCTTGATTCTCTTATCAAGACACACATTTATGAGGTGACTTGAGAATGGTAGATAGTTTCCCGGATTTTAGTAGGTTTTGCAAAAATAACGCCACAAATATACATATACAGGGTAATTCAAAATTGTGTACAAAAAATTTAGGGGCGTATTTTTTAGGTCAAAGTAAGACTTTTTTCCTATAAACGTAGGTCCACAAATGCTTAATTTTCGATATACAGGATGTTAAAGTTTTTTATTTTTTATTTTTTGATTTTAAATTTAAATATGTCATTGGTTTTGACGCTGCTTGAAGAAGGCGTCACCTATAAGGATCACTGCTGACTAAACGGTAGTATTGTCACTAGTCACCAATGATTTTCTCGAAATTTCACTGTAAATAGTTAATAAAATTAGAAAATATGGTATGCAATCAACTCTTCAAAAATACGCCTCTAAATTCTTTGTAGTAAATTTTGAATCACCCTTATATACATTTTTTTTCTTCCTGCTCACTCTGTCGAGTTGTCAGCTATTGAAAGTTGAAAATTGATTTTTCGTTATAATTTTTGTGTTTATTTAATATATACTTATACATTTTTGTGTTATTTAAAACCTCAAAACTCAACTTCAAAAGCTAATACTTCTACCGACTGAATCCGAATATAAAATTTACAAAAAACTTGTGACATTTTCCAAGACCCACGAAAATTTATTGGATTACTCACCATTTCCTGACCAGCCTGTTGCATAATGGACGCAATAATGCACGTAATATTTTACCTCTTTTATTTCTCTTGCTTTCGTGAAGAAAAAATTACACGAAATTTTGTCTTATTTTCAAAACGGTGCTTAGGGAAACAAAATAAACTTTTTAAATGTTTTTTGAAATTACAAAGAAAATAATGAATAAACAATGAATCACATTTTTTTTTATTAAACGTGAGAGGCATATAAGGGTAGTAGATATTCACAACTCATGATATGGTTAACTGATTGTTCTTAAAAAGAAAACAACGTTTTTCACTTTTCCGTTTTTGTTATAGAAAGAAATGTTATACCATAAATTGTCTATCTGCGTACAAATTGGGAGTTTTAGTTTCACAATTGTTATAAGGATGTAACAACTACGCTTTTCATCGGAATGCCGTAAATCTTAGATATATAGAAAACATATCTTATTTTTGGTATGACAGGAAGAAAAAGCAAGTCCCTAAATAGAGTTTAATTAACAAGACTGAGGATTACAAATAACACCAAAAGGAGAAACTGCTTTGCTTTCACTCTAGCGACGTTATAGGTACTTTAGTTGAGAAAAACATACATATTAAAAAAATTTGCACAAACAGCGTGAATTTCTAAAAGAAACGTGGAACAATATATTTCAGTTTTTATTTTCTTTTGCACTAATATTAAAATTACCCTTTGTTAGAACACTTCACATTTCACAATAGTTTGCATTTTATATATCTATCCTTATAATGTTGCTGATATGCTAATTTTTACTAGACTTTATCAAAAAACCACAGACAAATAGTAAAAAATTACTGTAACATAGACAGTCTTATTGAATTAAATTATATATTTTTGTGTTTATGTTTAAATGCAACATATAAAATTAAAGCTCTTATTTAAAAAAAAATAAATTTAAAGTGAAATAAAATTAGGAAAATATAATCTCTCTGGGAAACAGTTATTTCTACTGTTTGAAATATTTCACTGAACCTTTAGAAAATGGTTTCGTTCGTCATGAATTAAAAGTATTGTATTAGTGTCTAACCTCAGAACACAAGTGTCTCTCAAACATTTGTCATACATAAGTGTCTCAAATATTTGGCAGAAATCCATAGAGTCAAATTTTATCATGCAGACGATATACGACGTATAGACGATATGCACTATCCACACGATATAATATATGTTTACGTTTGACAAATGTTTGGCAAGTGACCATCTGAAGCGGGTTGTAGAACGTATTATCGTCAGGTATATTGTTTTGTACCTCGTTGTTAAACATGGAGTCAACCACAATACTCCTATCCTAATTTTGTGCAAACATCAAAATTTGTGGGCAAACATCAAAACTTGTGGTCAAACATAAAAATTTGTGGGTAGTCAGTCTTACTTTAACTTTTCTCGTTGTGAGTTTATAAATCTAATGATAAAATAACATGATATCTAGATTTGACGTTTCTACCGAATCTGAGACCCATTTATAAAATAATTTTGACTACTAAGTACAAAACCTAGCATATGTATTTCTTGATTTCTTGATGTACCAACTGCGTTTTAAAATTTTAGAAGTACATTAGTTCTTTTATACATAATGTACTATATTTCACTTCCATCATGTCGCAAACTATGTATTTAGAAACATTATATATTGTTAAAATTATATTAAGCTTTCCAAAATTATGAAATATGCGTAATCAACTAAATCTAAAATCTATTTAAGGCTTCGTATCTTGCAAACGTTTTCAAAATGTCTCTAACAATCCTGTTACCCTCTGCTGCAAATAATATCTATAGTTCCGTAAGGCCCAAAATGTATTCTATTTAGTTTAAAATTTTCCTCTAGTTTTTATTTTAATGATTTTAGAAATAATATGAGTTTAATAATACCTAATAGTTTCGTAAAATCTAAGTTAAGAAGCGAACTAGCCACACATTTAAAGAAGTTTTAGGTAATATCTAAGTACTTCATTAACAAAATATTTCTTACGTATACTTTTAGGATACAGTGTATTATATCTTTTTAAATGCTTGAACTCAATTATCGCTTGCAATTCCAAATGTACCAAGTTTAGCAGATCGATTTCTGCTTTAATTAGAAATTGAAATACGATTCCGCAATTGTGAGAAATAATTAATCAGAAATCATTAGAAATATACCAATTTTTGAAGTAACTACTGATGTAAAAAATGTGATATTTTGATGATGCAAATTTAGATACAGTAAAAAGTAAGTAATTATACAAAATACAAACATTTGCCTTCAAAGTTTTCGTTTTTGACAAGTAGATCGTCTGAACAAATGACGATATTGAAACGAAATTTTTATGTGCACAGTACATGAATAGGATGGTATTCAATATGAAAAGAATTAAGTCTCAGCTCAAACCAGTGGCGTAGATATGTGTGTAGTCATGTTGGTAACTTTCCTCAAAATTATATACACCAATACAATTTTTTTTATTATTTTTTAAATGCAAATTTTATTTTGAATATAAATGATCTCCTGACTTTTTCTAATTGCAATTATACTTTGTAAAGAGGATATGTTTACATTATTTTTTTACACATATCTGTGCCTTTGAGAACTTGATATTTTTGAGAACTTCCACCCTTCAAGAGCAAACGTTTCCATAATAAAATAAGGGTACATACGTTTTTTATATAACCTTTTTAGTCGAGGAAATAAAGCACTAAAAACGGCCTTACCTCTGAAATCTCTGCAGTAAGATGGATGTGAGACCGTTGCCGTCGTGATATTCGTGTCGAGCGATCCCAAAAACCTCGATGTAACGAGTTTCGGCTAAGTTTATAACGAATTTCCACAAAACTCCAGGCGACGACGTGGAAACCGGCCACCCTGGGCACTAGGTACCTCGGAGACCGTTGCCGTCGTGATATTCGTGTTCAGCGACCCCAAAAACCTCCGAGTAGCAAAATTGAACTAATTTCCGTCAATATTTTCCGAGATGTAAATTTTTCATATTTTAACTCTTCGAGATGCAATTTTAAAAATGCATTTTTCTTATGCACCGATGCAATTTTCATTTATCATTGATCACATAGGGTCACAAACTTTCTGGACGCTCTAACGAATCGAATGCAAAAAACCTCATCACGATCCATCTTACTGCACAGATTTCAAAGGTTCAGTGCTTTATTTCCTCGACTATTTTCAAAAATGGATAACAGGGGAATATACTGCTTTGAGGGGGAGGGTATAGTATATAGTGGTTTTATCTTTTATCCTAAAAGTTCTTGGAGATATCTTATTCGTATTTTAAACCTAGACTCAAATATCTGTACACGTCAAATATCACGTCTTACAGCAAGCAATAGTTTAATTTTTTTGTTTTTATTTATTTTTTTTAATGCGGAAAGTATTAATCTTAAGTCCCCTAGAGAAAATAATGTAATTATTGTTTAACTTTGATAAAATGATGTGTTTTCGAGAAATTAAAATTCAGAATTTCTGTAAAAAAACTTCATTTGTATTACTAGTGGTTTCAAAAATTTTGAAATTTTCAAGACAATTTTTTTTAATGCTTTTTAGTCGAAATGTAGGCCAATATAAGCAATACGAGATATGAAATTTTACAAATGACATTGTCTTGTGTAAATCTGAATTTCTTGAAAACGTCCGATTTATCGAATTTAAACAAGAGTACGTTTTTCTCTAATAATCTAGAACTTGGTACTTTACCGGAATTTTAAATAACGGTGTAAAATTTAAAAATATTGTTACGAAATAGTGACAGTCACCTCTCTAAAATTATTCCGTAGGTAACACGTAAGATCTCAATACTGTAGTTTAAATTAAGGCACAAATCGCCAAAGTCTAAATTTAAAATATGATTAACATATCTCGAAGAACATCATACCATCCCTAAAAATATACGGAGGCAATTTGAAAACAACCTGTACAAGAATATATTCTTAAATATTCACAAAAAGTACTTCTCTATTTTTTACATTGTGTTGTGTTACACCCTGTATATAAGGGAAAGTAAAATAAAGAATTTAAACAAAACAAACATGTAACCATGATTAAAAAAGGAAATGCAAGTGTTTTGAAAAAGGAGTATCGCAATGAGTTTTGCAATTTTATTAAATAAAATAAGTAATAGTTTTAAATTCGTCACACTGATACATTTCATTTTATGTTGTTAATTGTAAACTAGTACATAAAAAATGTACTTTACCTGACCCGTGCAACACACCACTAACACCACAACCACTACCGCAACAGTCGCAAAAACCTTCATGATGTTTAACCTATTATCTCCGCTCTCTCTATGAGACCCGGCTCCTTAAAAGAAATTCTTTATATACAAATTGCCTTCGAGGTCAAGGTGTCCTGTCGCATTCTAATGCATTGATTTTGCAAACTACGGAAATACGAATGGGTCCTTTGACAAATAAATTTTAGGTTTATTCTTCAAAATTTCCGAGTACAGTATCTTCATTCTGATCAATGTAAGTTACGATGAAGAGGCTTGGGCGTAGAAATAGATATTGAATGAAAATCATTTCTAAGATACGATAATATTTCAACTTATTATATTATTTTGTATGGTCGATCTATAGAAGTTTTTAAAAAACACATTTATTACAAAAATCCAAAAAAAATATTGCTTAAAATTCATTGCTTCATTAGATATACATAGAGCGTTTTTCAATTTTATCCGCTTTATTGTAGTGACGATTATTTTTTTTTTGGAAAGAAGTCATCATTATCAGTTTTTAGTGCATAATGTAATAACACATCTATACAATATTTTTCTATAAACTATGGATGGATAGAAATTTATTTTTTTAAACTCAAAGGTACTACATATTTTCTGATTTTTGAAATATACGTAAAATTTATTTTTCAAGGACGCAAAATGTACTATCAAAACTATTTATTTATAATTCAACTGTTTTATGATTAAACTCGCAGTGTTTTACGTATTTTGTATCAAGAAATATGCATTCTTTCTGCCTAACTATGATTTTAAAGAAAAAGTTTCAAAAGTCGAATGGCAGATAGGGTTTAAAAGAACTATAAATTTCTGTTAAAACAGAAAAGATAAAAATATATCTTTATGTAAACAACTGTATAAAAATCCTTTTCACAAAAATATTTTTTACAAACAATTAATTACAGCAAACGACCAAAATAGAAAAACGTCCTGCATTTGTTGAATATATCAAGATATCGACATCATAGTGCTTATTCTGTGAAGATCTCTGAAAATTTTGTAACGGTAGACATTAAAACTTTAGGAACAGTTAAACCTACCGTAGTTCACACTGTCTCGGATATAAACAGCTAAGGAACATTAATTCTTAAAATTATTTCTTATATTTGTAATGTTTTGTGTATAAGTTTATTTAAGAAAAAATACATTGCATTCAAACATACTCATACTTTTATTTTAACCTTACCCTATCTTTCCTAAAAAAGTTCCAAATTTTTATTCCAAAGAACTATTTTATTTAATTCAGAAAAGTTATAGTCTCATATCAAATAAAACCATTTATTTATATTTAAAAAACAATAATTTTCTTTCAAACATATATTTTGTTTTGTTAGAACAAATGTAATGTTATATTAATTTTATAGTATTTTTAAAATAAAATTACAAATGTTTTCTCTAAACCAATGAAAAATTTGAGTCAACAATATGTACATTATTTCAATACATAAATATTTTTCATGTGAAGCGTTTATTATTTAATTGAAATAAATATTTTAAAGAAATAATATTCTTTGTTCAAATACATGTTTGCATTGCGGATATGGGAAGATATTATTTGTTTAGTTTAAATTTTACTACATTGAATTAAACAATTATTTTTATGTGTGTACAATATTTATTGAGATAGAATTCCAAGAAAAGAATAAGCCAATAAAGTTCTGTTATCGAAACTACTGTAACAATTTACCGCGGCAGGGGCGTGCCATGAAATTTTCCGCGTTATTTTCAGATTATTAAAATATATATTAGATAAATATGTACCTATACAGGGTGTCCTGTATATGCAACAAAATTTGGTCAATGATTTTTAAGATAAATTTAGGGGACCCGTATTTTTTCTTTTTGCCAACTGGTCCCATCTTTCGGAGTTATACTGGAGTAAGATCTGGACTGTTGACCAGCCAGTTAGTTAATTAGAGCATTTCTTCTGCCAATCAATATGTTGAAACGTTGGTTTAAGTGGTTTCTCACTCTTAAGGTGCTATAGGGTGGGGCTCCGTCCTGCTGGAATGTAACATGTCCAAAATGCTGCAAAGGTAAGTCATCTAAAAAATCTTCTAGATCGTTTTCGTGAAAGTTTAAATATGAGTCCCCATTCAAGTTTGGATAAAAAAAATAATTTTGTTATCCATTAATACGCATCAAACGTTAATGAACTGGTTCCCTTGAAATCTAAATTCTCTGTAACAGAATGGGTTTTCTGTAGACCAATATCTGGTACTTTTTCTATTTATCATGCCATTCGTAGCAAAGATAGACTGATCCGTCCACGGGATGTTTCTTAAAAAAGTTGGGAGGCGGTAAAATTCTATTCTCTTTTCTCTTATGCGTGTGTGTCAATTTTAGAGGGAGTCTGATTTTGAAAGGCTTCTAACCAGCATTCTTAAGAGTCTTCTGCTGAACTTTTGAATAGGACATTTTTGTAAACCTTTTGAAATATGCCTTATGGATATATTTGGATTTCTTGCACAGAAAGTAATACATTAAGTTGCGCGTCTTCATTATCTTGCACCACTTTTTTGTCTCTGTTCAGACTTGATGTTTCTTGATATTTTTCGAATATTCTTTTAATTGCTTTTTGCAAGGAACGTGCATTCTTGGACTTTCTCGAGTTAAGTCTCGTCGCGTTGCTGTGGCATTATAGTTGTTACGAACTTCTTTGTTTTTCTCTTTGCGAGTATGGCATTAATAACAATTTGCAGCAATACTTTTTGAATTATTTAATGAAGTTACTGGCACTTTTATTGATGCTAGATAAGAACTGAAAATTTTTAAATTTGAAATTTTATTTGCTAATATTTCAAAGATCATTGACTTTGAGTATATGACTTGAAATATAAAAAATGGTTAGCATTAAACGAAGAGTCAATAAATTAATTCATATGAAGTATACTTTTTGATCTACCCTGTATATTTACTAATATGTTTGATCAATTTTCAAATACATGTGTAAAAAGTACAGAAGAAATCCTACAGCTCACATTTGTTACAAAATTTTACTGACCCAAATAAACAAGTTAAGGTGGGTGGACGTTATAGAAAATCACCCGGTACAGAAGAGTACAAGTCATAAATAAACTAGAAGATAATACAAATAAAAAAGCCAGGGCAAAAAAAAAAGAAATAAACAAAAAAACATGAAATGAACAGGACAATACACTTAGGAAGAAATAGGCTTTCATAACTGAAAGTCACATTATCCACTGCAAGCTGCTACGATGAACGCCACGCCGCCAATGTCTTCCTACCTCGGGTGTAGAATGCGGTTAATTCCAAGAGAGTAACACAGGGGTCTTCTTGGAATATGATCTCAACAGACATCGTAAAGACTGTATTTTTTTCTATATTTTCGGAAGATAGGAGAAACTTTCAGATATACAGAGAAATTGGCCCCCAAAAATTGACATACAAAATCAGCAGAAACAAATGCATAAAAATTAGTGATGTACCTACCTCCAAATTTTATACCTATCATCGCTATCAGAATTCGTAAAAATTTAGTGGTCCATTTCAATAAGAAACCACCTATTACATAAATGATTGTTCAGTTATAAAAGTACTACTATTTCAAAATTTATACATTATTTATTGTAATATTTTCAATTTTCAAATTATACCCCATTGTAACGCTTGAAAGTAATACAATTTTGTATTCCATCGATACCCACCCTTTGAATTTTAATCTGCTCTGTATCATAAATAATAATTCTAAGTACCTATCCAATTTGTAAAAGGAATTATTAATCAACTAAATAGTGAAATAAGTTAAGCGGATAATAGTTTTTTTAATGCCTGAGTCACTAAAAAATTTGCCAACCATATTATTCATTCAAGTACCTGGTCATTTCATATCTTTATACAATACTTTTTTTTACTGAGAATCAGAAGGATATTCTAGCATTAAACTTTTACAAAAAGACTTGTTCCTATATGACCTCTAATTTGCTTTTAAAACTTTTAAGTATATAAAAAATTCTAAAAAGGTTTAAGATATTTTTACATTTTTTGAATATTTTTCTATAATTCTTAAACAACAGTAAGATATACTTTTGTATTCAATGTATCTATTAACGAACTACTTTCAATCAATTAGACTTTAAAACATTAGCAAAAGTAAGCCATTTAACGAAAATGAAAGTTTGTATCGAATCAGGTATTAAAAAAAAACCTAATGGAGAGAATGCCAGTAACCAAAGAAATTTCATTAGCGTTATTCAAATTTGTAATCTCAAGTGAATCTGCAGCAGGTCAGCGAACAAATCAATCTTATAAAAAATGTAGTACAGCTAGTTGCTGCAGAAGATGTTTGCAGTCTGTTGCAACTTGTGGAATGGATTAAATAGTAGGTCATTTATTCAATACGAAACTTTTAACATAAAAGCAATATAGATAAAGTGAATATGCACATGCTCTCTTTATGATTCTAATGAGTTCGTTTACATAAGGAAACAAGTTTCGAAGAACACTGTTTCTTAATTCGAAACTTGAGAAATTGCGTTGTCTTCTAAAAATTACATGTTTATTTCTCTTCCTCGTATGTAATTCGCAAAATACTTAGTTATTTGTCAATAATTGTGCAAAGTATCCTTTTTCGGGAATGTCAAAATTATAAATTTGGGCACAGTATTAAAAATGTAGGATTTACGCATGTAGCTGCATAGCTTGCAGAATTACCTGATGAGTGGATGGAAAACTGTTTGATTACAAAGGTATTTGCACAGAAAAATATTTAAATTTAGCGTATACTCTGCCCAAAAGAGGAACAATAATACTATTTTTTTTAACGTCTATAAAACATTTAGTATATTTTTTTGAGAAAATGTGTTACATACAGTTACATAAAATTCATGGCTTCTCAGTGACTATACAGGGTGTTTATTAAGTACTTGTATATACTTTAAACGGTGAATCTTTGACTAATTTTAAGATAAAAAGTTAAATTATTTTAAAAAATTAAAAATATTTTTTGAAGTTTAACACCCTATATCTTTTTAATGAAGCGTCCTAGATAAAAACTTTATAGGAAAGACTCCCCTTAAAGT